TATTCAAAACTTAATGTAGTTAAAAAATTATTATTAGTTATATATCAAAAAATAGCTTGTATTATAAATATTGTATAATAATATTAAAAAATTAGTACTATTTTTAGTAATTTACATATAAATGTATATAATTTTTTAAGCTTTAACTAAGATTTAAAAAATTTATTAAATAAATTATTTAAATTTTTTATAAAAATTGCAAAGGCTGACTATCTAAACATAATTAGTTAAAATAAATAAATTTAAACAAGTTTACTAAAAATAATATGAATTTTAAATTTTAACTAATTTTTGTTCAATTTTTTATATGTAAATTTACTAAGTAATTTTACATAAAAATTTTAAAATAAAAAAATCTAGAAAATTCTAAAACATGTCTAGAATTATAAAATTTGCAGTATGCAATGACATATATATATAATATTATAAAAAAATAATTATAAGTATAATTAATTAATAAATAACTAGATAATTGGTCTTAAAGTGTGTTACAAATGAGTGCAATGTACTACAAATAGTACGCCAAAATGCTATCCATTAAAATATGTTTAACTATTTATTCTGGCCTAATAGTAATAGTTTTGCCTCTTAGAAAACAATTAAGAAAGCTTTTTCTTCCAAAAATTTAATATTCAAAACAAAAAAAGTTTATACTGGTTCTAATAGCGAGAATTATTAAAATCAATTTGGTAGATCTCAATATGATTTTACATAATCTAAAATTTTCGATACTCTTATGAAATTAATAGTAATTCACTACCGATATTTATGATAAAATTTATATTCTTCTATCACTTAATCCAATTATGTAAAAAAACTCAAAAAAAGTAAAATATGTGATTGTCACGATTATTTGGATTTAACAATAAAGGATAAAATTTTATCAAAACTACGGATCAATTTCTTGCAACATATTTATACCTTATTCAGAAAATTTTTTACATGAAGTGCTATAAGAGAATCTGCAATTCTAAAGAGTAAAGTTGCTCTACAATAAAATTCATCTTCATCATTTTGAAAGAACTCATTGAGTGATTCATGTAAATCTTTACCACAAAGAATAAAAAGATTTTGTGATAGAAAAGTAAATACAGGTTTACTGAGAATTTCTTGAAGAAAATTTTGGTCACCGCAGATTAAATATTTGAACTTTTCAATTGATAATTTAATAGCTTTTTCAACATCATTGAAATTCATACAAGAAGTTGGTGTTTTGATTATTTTTTTCCATTCGGTAGAAATTTGATAAGAGAGCTCCCGGATAAGCTTCGCATCATCGAGAGAATCTATTGTAGAAAAACATTCTTGGAGTTGATGTGCACTCTCGGAAAATATCAACGAAGCCAAACAAATTGATACAGCTGGCCACGCTAATAAGTCTGGCATACTATCGTGAGTAACATATCCATTTGCTACGTAGATACCACCTGTTACTAGTAAGCAGTGAACCTTCATAGTAGGAGAAAATTCTTCTGTAGATTTAAATACTTCGAAAGTTGTTAATTCGGTAGTTTTTCCATTCCATCTAAGAATCTTATTTTGATTTTGCATTCTATGAATT